CAGCTGAAAAAAATCAATGTATGTAATCACCAGCTGGCACTCTAGTGAAACCAAGTCTTGTTTTAAGACTAAAGAAGTAAATCTTTTCAAGCATTAGGAAAGTGTCTTTTGGGGAGATACTGTATCTTTTCCTGGAAGACTTAAAAATGTCTTTTTTTTTTTTATTAATGGCAAATATTTTGCAACAAAAAGAACATAATTTGAAAATTATTAGAAGAAAAGTTATTTTATTAACATGTATTTGTTCAGGAAAGTCTATTAGCAGGGAAGAGTTTGGTCTGCTTATATAATCAGCTCTGAATGACAGCTCTTCACCAAAGTTATCCCAGTGTGGTTGAGATTACCGGTTCCCAAATGAAACTCCTGTAAACCAAGGCATATTCCACAGCTGCCTCATGAGCTGTATTACCTTTATAAAGTCTTCAGCTGAAAATTTAATTACACAATGATATGCTGGACCATGAGGAACCTAGGACTCGCTGTTGTCAAGTTTTAGAAATCGCTTCCTATTTTCTAAGATCCATTTTCCAAAACATGTAATAAGTCTTTTCCACTGATGAATCAAAGTGTTTTAAGAAATTACTCATTTTTCTTCCCTGCCTAAACTGAGGATTTCCACCCTGATATTCTCTAGCCTGGGGGTTTTACCAACGAACTGATCAAAATAATAATAACAACAATAAACATGTAACATACATGTTGTAACATTTTCTGTTGAAGCGAGCTGAACTGCTCATCTCCAGATATAGTCAAGACTGTGGTCAAAATTACAAGATTGCAAGCTCTGACAATCTACCCCAGGAGAGTCTACTTCATATATATTTTCCCCCAACTTTGCAAAAAGAGCTAAGCTAGTTGGAGACTCAAACTCGACTAACCATGTGCTTCTACATCCACAAAATCAAAGCCAGATGGCATCATATAATACAAGTCACCTGGCTTTTATGTGCCTCCATTTCTTTATGGGCAAGACAGAAATAATATTTGTCTATCCTGTCATTCAAAGAGTCTTTGTAATATAGGCTGCAGTTGTCAGATGTGCAGCGGTAAGAATAATTGTTTTAAAGACTGGAAAGAAAGGAAATCATCCAACTGCACCTATGTGCAGCCTCTCCAAATGCAGTAAGTCTCTGTACCTGTGTGACATGCTGCCTGCATACAGAGATCACTGTTCATTGGCAAATGCTGTATTTCTATATCTGGAACACGTTCAAGTGTCATAGTGCACCAAACTCACTAATAAAAAGAAACGATTAATTAAAATGATTAATAAAATGATTAATAAAAAGGCACGATTAAAGAATAATGCATTCCAGCAGCCAAGTGAGACAGCACACCTCAGATGGAAATAAGCAAGCTTCCCTCTGGGAATTTACTGCTCACCATCCACAGCAGCCATGTGTCACACATATACAATCAAGACGCCAGAACACATTAGAGCTGATCTGAAATACTGTCATCTGATGACAATGAAAACTGTTTTCCAATGATTAGCAGACCTTTAAGCCAAAGTGCTGTCGTAGAAAGACAAATAACTGCAGGACATTTCAGAACATTTCTCCCCTTACCTTAGCTTCCACCACAGTTACGTGCCCAGTTTTACAATACACACAACTACTTCCAGTGCACTGCTTCCATATGACTGAAGTATAGAGTCTAACACAAACACACTCCAGACTGAATCCACTACAAGTTATTACATTTTTCTTTCTGTGGTCATAATATGACTTGTAACAGGTTTTTTTGTGAGGAGGTATATACATTAAAACTAATGCAATTTATATGACTGACTGGAAGCAACATAGTACTAAAGGTTGGCCAAGCTTTCTAGAAAATTTATTACTTTCAGAATATAATTAGGATCCCTATGGTAAGATCCTGAAGGTAAAATTAAAATATTGTAGGTCAATATTTGAATCCACTGGAAGGAGTCTTTAATTTTTTGATTCATTGTTCCTGAGAAAAGATGTTTTGAAAATGTTTGAGATGGATCAGGTATGTAAAGTCCTGGTGTTCAACAGTCAACATAACTTATCCCTTTCCCAGGATGCTGTGGCCATACCTAATTGGGCAATGTTCCCAAAACATCTATTTTCCCATCATCTCCCAGCTACCAAATTATTCTTACTGTATTTTAGGAAACTGGCAGGAGGAAGGGTACATGAGTGGGAAAATTGGTGGCTTTGTAAGTATAAAAGAAACAAGCAGGACTCTGTAACACTTGAAAGGCCAGAGAAAACCAAATGAGAGAGAGGCCCCAGGGCACTGGAGACCTGGGGGGAGACAGTCAACCTAACTGCAGTCTTTGGGAAGATAATAGAAAAAGTTATTAAGCGGCCTGTCGCTGAGCATCTAAGAAGACAAATATGATAATAAAAAGCAGATAATGTGAATTTGTCAAGAACAAACCTTTTTCTGACACAGTGAGCAAGGGAGAAGCCAGAGATTTGACAAACTTGGCTTTGACTGAGCTTTTAATCTAAGTCACCTGAGAATCTGACAAGCTTTGTAGGGAATTATGGCCTAAACTGAAGAGCAGTTATGACTACTATATGAAGAAGTAATTAGGAATACTTCTCTTGCAAACTGGGAGCCAAATGGGATTCCACAACGATCTGCCATGAACCTAGCTTTATTTAATATTTTCCTTATTACACTGACAATGACACCGATAAAGCATACTTTCAGAATCTGGGCTGATAACCAAGGTGGGAAAGATTGCAAACAGTTTAGTAAACAGAAGCAAAATTCAAAATGATGATCTGAAAATTCTATAGAGACAGACACAAAGTACTACAATGATGGTCAAGAAAACAAATTCAGATACAAGGGGGAAAACTAGTCAGACAACAAAAACATAGGAAAAAGATCTGAAAGTTACAGTGGCTTCCAGTTAGAGAGTGAGAGTGCAATAAGGACAGCAAACTTGGCACTGTGAAGACCTAAGACACAAGAAACAAGTATTTTGCTCTGTTGAGCAGCAGTGAAGCACACATCAGTCAGCAAACAATGTACAGATTAAACACCACATTTAGAGAAAACTGCAGGCAGTGTGGGGAAAAATCTAAACTTTAAAAACACACGATCAGTAGGATAATACTAAGTGAACAAAATTTGTTTAGTGTAGAATAATGTGAAAAGAGGAAAGGGCGAAGTTATAACCTTCAAGTTCTTCTGCACTTAAAAGACAAAACCGGAATATCTTTATACCCAACAAGTACGTAACAAGTAATCACGGGCATCATTTGCAGCATGCAAGATATTAGGAAAAAAACTACAGTGAACTATAAAAATCATCATGTAATGGAATTGCATCAACAGATTGTGCAGTGACTGCCATCGAAGGCCTTTCAAAACAAACTAAACAAATTCACCATGCAACATTTTGTTAGAGGTTGCTGTGAGATTCGACATTGCTTTAATGAATCAGTTAATTTGGTGTCATCCCAGAAATAAAGAGAGGTTAGAAACACATCACACTCACAACTACAACAAAGTGAACGTTCCACCCGTAACATCTGTGTGAACTCACAAAGCGGGACTTCAGCCAATGTGAATAAATTCAACATGGGATTTGAAAATTACAAGTTTGCCCGGATTAAACAAAAGACCTGTAACCCCTGTATTTGAAAACGACCAGTGACATTCCTACTTAAGTGGCAAATGCTGATCCGGAGTTTGTGTTCTGAAAGCAGGGTGCAAACAAAGCTGCTACACAGGCTGGAGGAGCTGGGGCAAATCTGAGCTGCTTGAGGAAGGTATTTAACGCTGAGCACCCTAGCGGGTGCATCGGCCAGGCTCTTACATTATCTTGCATGCGCGTTTGAGCACAAAATTCGATTTAAAGTTGCTGGGTTTTAATCAGCTTCGCAACAGTGGTTTTTGCATACCATCTTCGGCAAAAGGGGAGTCGGTCTGTTGTTTTGTCAGTGCAAACTGTTTTTTCCTCAGTGCCCCCGCAACGACAACCTGTCACCTTCCTCGCATTACTAAACGGAAGATCCAGGCAAGAATAAAAGCTGTCTCGCCTGAAACGTATTCCCTTCTTAAAATTCATCAGCCGCCTTCCCACTGGGTCCCTCACGAGTTTCCAAACTAGCCCGTTCCTAATTCAGGGCGGCCCGGACGCGCGAACAGCCTCCCAGTCAAGTCGGGCAGCAACGATACCTAACGGCAGTTTAAAATTACCGGCGCGCCGCGCCTCACAAGGTCCCTCAGAAAAGAGCGAGAGGAAGGGCGGGGGCAAGCCTCAGGCCAGGGCAAACCTCACCGGCGCCCACCGGGCC